TTACTTAATATTCTTTAATAATAATCTTTCTGCTTCAACTGGTTAGAGTAGATGCTTTCGTCTCTAAGACTCCTGACATATACACTAGAATGCCAGCATCTAGTAGAACTTTCTGTGATCATGGGAATGTTCTAGAGTTTCTGCTGTCCAACCTGGGAGCCCCGGCCTCGCGTGGCTGTGGGATACTTGCCACAGAACTGAAGCTTGAATTTTATTTAATTCTAAGTTTAAATTTTAATAGCCAAACGTGGGTTAGTGGCCACTCTGTTGGACAGCACAGCATAAACTTCAGGTGGGATGTGCCTGGAGACTGATGGATGAAACACAGTGGCCAAGGTCATGGGGGGAGGGGTGCTCGTGTGCCAGATCAAAGTGCCAGACCTGATCTAGAAGAGTCACCGTGGGGGAATCCCTGGGTGGCTCAGAGGTTTAGCACCTGCCTTCAGCTCAGGGCATGATTCTGGGGTCTGGGGATCGAATCCCACATCGGGCTCCCTGCAGGGACCCTGCTTCTCCCTCTGCCTGTGTCTCTGCCCCCCACCCATGTGTCTCATGAATAAATGAATAAAACCTTTAAAAAAATAGAAGAATCACAGGATTGGAGGTTTTGACACAGTAAAGTGATAGGAGCATAATTGTGTGGTTTTTTTTTTTTTTCATGAGAGACACACACAGAGAGGCAGAGACACAGGCAAAGGGAGAAACAGGCTCCCCATAGGGAGCCCAATGTGGGGATTTGATCCCCAGACCCCAGGATCACGCCCTGAGCTGAAGGCACCCGCTCAACCACTGAGCCACTCAGACGGCCCCCCTCCCCATTAATTGTCTTTTGATGGAATTTTGAGCTGCAGTGTGGATAGTGGGTTTGAGAAGCGATGTTGCAGCAGGGAGGCCAGGCAGGAGGTGACCACAGTGGCTCAGGTGAGAGCAGGGATGAGCGGAAGGTAGCGCAGACTCCAGCACCGTCAGGATGTGATGCCTGCTGACGGTGAGGGGCGGGAGAGGCTTCAGACCAAAGGCTCTCTGGGTATATTCTTTGGAAATGGTGTGTTTCAGGAAGTGTTTCGACTGAGTTCAGGAGTCTGGGAGGAGACGCATGTTTGGTCTGCAGGGAGCTGATATGCACCCTCTGCTGGCGGTCTGTGACCACTGCAAACACACGATGGCCCGTGGCCTGTGCTGGGCTCAGTAGTGAAGTTTTGGGAAGAAGAAAGGAACTTATGTGACCGACCTGCCACGTCACTGAGGCCGCCTAACCCCACCTGAGGATGCCAAAGCCCTATTTAGAATGTCATATGGCCTCCTATTCAATACCTTATCTGGTTATTCATTAACATAATTTTTTTGTGCAAGGCATTGTGCTGAGCTGGGAATAGGAAGAGCGCACTCGGGATCCCTGGGTGGCGCAGCGGTTTGGCGCCTGCCTTTGGCCCAGGGCGCGATCCTGGAGACCCGGGATCAAATCCCACGTCGGGCTCCCGGTGCATGGAGCCTGCTTCTCCCTCTGCCTGTGTCTCTGCCTCTCTCTCTCTCTCTCTGTGTGACTATCATTAAAAAAAAAAAAAAGGTTAAGAGCACATTCTCAGGCATGTCCCAGGCAGGGGGGACATGGGTGCACCAAAGCCAAGTACCCTGCAATGCTTACTGGCTATAGTACAGGCTCTTTGAGGAGCGACAGGGTCTGGAGGAGGTTTTATGGACATATTGCCTGAGCCGGCATGAAAAGGACAGGCTGGAAGTGCCCCGATAATGGTAAGAAACACCTGTGACCAACATCACACCCAAACCTGCCTAGAGCACTTGGCACCAAGGAGCTGAGCAGGAGACGACTGTTTCTCTTTCTGCCTGCGTCTCTGCCTCTCTCTCTCTGTCTCTCATGAATAAATAAATAAGATCTTTGAAAAAAAAATCTCTTCCTCAGTCTGAATATTTACCTTTTCCACTGCATTTAAGACTAACCCCAATACCTGATGGGTGGAGTTTCTTTGTCCATAGTTTGAAATGATAGAGGAGCCAAGTTTGAGCACAGCAGAGGGGAGCGTAAATAGTGCTGGCGGCGCATGTGGTGAGCGCAGCAAAGCAAACACACGTGTCCAGTCACCTGTTGTACACCCGAAACCGACATGACACCGTGTGTCAGCTGCGCTGCAGTAAAACTGAAGCCAAGTTCCAAGCCTGCGGTTTTGACTCAGCTCTGTGTGATCCAGGCCTCCAATTTCACCATCTCAACCTCGGTCCAGAGCAGAACCGCAGGAGAGCTGAGCTCAGGCAGTGAACTGGTGGTGTCCCCATTCCTGCAGGAAAGAAAAATGTATGGATACATTTCACGGGAAAACACTGCAACTAATGGAACGCACTGCCAACAGTGATGCTTCTGAGGTGAAACCACTGTTATCATTGAGAAAATGAGGCTTTCTTGCCAAAGAAGCTCAGGTGTGATTAAAAACAACACATGGGAAATTGTTTCTGTGCCAGATACTTGTTTGATGTTTGTCCTCATCACAGCAAAGTGACAAACATACCCAAATGGGACACATGTCATCTCTGAGTGCTTTTGATTCTAGATCCTGAATTATAGCCATTAATGGGGAATAAATTAAATCAACCTCAAAGTTCATAAGCTCTGCATTGAGAGACTGGTAATACCTGTTGCTGAGAAGAACCAGTAAATCCCTTTTTTTTTTTAACAAAACAAAACAAAAAAAGTAGATTCCATGCCCAGCATAGAGCCCAACATAGAACTCGAACTCATGACCCTGAAATCAAGACCTGAGCTGAGATCAGGAGTCTGACATTTAACATGCTGAGATACCCAGGTGCCCCCCAAACTGGCAAATCTTCAGGATTGGTTTGTGCTTTGACTGCCCTTCCTGAATAGGGCAGCAACTCCCTTGCTGTGCTCTGCTCTTGCACAGTGCTGGTGTGTGGAGCCTACCACGTGTCTTACTGATCTCTCTCCCTCTGCCTGGAGATTGCCTTCACCAGGGGAGGGCTCTGCTTTGCTGCAGCCACATCTCTAACTCCTGGGCGTGGGGTCTGTGCTCAGCAAATGTTTTTTGATTTACTGAATCTTTGCCCTGAGGGATCATCTGATTTGGTCTGATTTTTCATGCATCGACTACGAATTTATGTGACTCTGTAGAAACACTGGCAAACTGAAAACACATGAGGTTGCACTTACGTGAAGGAAGCTCTGGACCTAAGTGAGGCCAAGCAAGGTGAGTGGTGGGATGGGGGAGGTGCGGGAGTGGGGGCGGGGATGGAGACAGGGTGGGAGGTGGGGCGCACATCCACACACCCGAGAGGCAGAGCTGCACCTGACCCAGGGCCTCTGACCCTGGTTCACAAGTCAGAGGTACTTCGGGATCCACTTTTGCAATGAAGTTTGTTCGGTTTACCTAGAAGGTTGCAGGCCAGACAAAACCTCAGGGTTTGCTGGGGCGGAGATGCAGGTGGCCCTGGGGCGACGCTGAGAGCCAGGAGCCAGGCCTGTGGCTCCTGCGTGTCACTTGGTTCCAGCACCTGGGAAGTACATGTGGCTATTGGCCTGGGTTGGCCGAATTTGAGAATATATGCACAGTATTTTGCACAAAAAGTGTCTGGAGGACCATTTTAAGCCCTACAAAAGATGGATATTTATACCCTTAGATGCATTTGTGATTGCGAGGTAGGAGGACGTCCCCAGGAGATAAAAGCAGCAGAAGATACACAAACCTAGCTCTTCCGCCTGTTGGTAGGCTCCTGGATGACCCCTGTTCAGCATTTCAGGGCGACAGGGAATGGAGCCACCAGGGGTGGGAGGTGAATCTCCACAGGACTTGCATTTCTGTGCATGTGTGAGCAGTCACTGGACGGTTTTCTCAAGGACGTTTGCCTGGGTGATGGCCCAGGAAGATAGAGATGGTGTCCCCCTCGGGGGCAAAGGGTGGCCAGCCCTTGTACAAGTGACTGGGGTTTCTCAAGCCGGGTGCCCCACTGTGACCCAGCTGGCTCTACGTGTCAGTCTCTGTCACCAAGGGAGACCTGAGGGCGAGGGGAACCGGCGTGCACCAGGGGCCGTGCTGTTTGCTGCAGGCTCTGACCCCAAGTGTCATGTTTATCTGCACCCACGAGACTGTGCCAGGCTGATTTGTTAGCAAAGCATCTGAATCTTCCTCCACCGAAACACACACGCAAGCTGAAGACTGCCAGTAGATCTAGGCTTGCCCTATGTGGTGTATAGACAGAAGAATGGGCCCTTAAAAGATGCCATGTCCTGGTCCCCAGAACCCGTGAGTGTGTCAGGTGACGTAGAGGCAGAGTTCAGGCTGCTTATCAGCTGACCCCGAAATAGGAAGAGTATCCTGGAGTATCTAGGGGCACCAATGTCACCTCAAGGGTCCTGGAAGTAGGAAAGGAGGAGAGGAGGTGGGTGGGGTGAGAATATGGGGCTCGATCTCCTGTGGCTGACTCTGAGGATGGAGGAAGGGCCAGGAGCTCAGGAATGTAGGGCTCAGACTGTCCTTGAAGCCCCGGAAAAATGCAGTCCTAGTATATGTGCTGCCGAAGCTAGCACACCGAAAAATGCAGTCCTGCTGACACCTTGACTTTAGTCCCCAGACCTACCTGGGACTTCCGACCTCCTGAGCTGTGACTTGAGGGATTGCCATCTCACCACCAGGTGTGTGCCATGGGGTCTGTAACATGGGATGGGGGCGCTGCTGGCTGTAGGCATTCCCCCCTGTAGCTGGAGGCAGCATGCATTTCCTGTTGGCTCTGGGAGCTTTCGACACCCCCACCTGTGCAGTGAGCCTGAAGGGTTTCTGGAAGAAATTTCCCACACTCTGCTGGGGGAGCAGCCCAGAAATTGGTGGCAGAAAGGTGAATGTGTGTCTCTCACTTGTGGCCACTCAGGAACTGACCAAATGGGAAGAAATTAGGTTGGAGAGCTGAAGACCAAGTGTAGCTTCTTGTTTTATTTCTGTATAAAGAGGAGATGGGCATGAGGACGTCAGGTGGCCGTGCACAGAACGAGATACGGCAGGGACAGCCTCCAGCAGCCCACCCTGGGTCACCTGCTTCGCTGCCGACACACCATCCTGTCTCCTGCCAGCGCCCATCCCATCACGTGGCCTGGCTCCATGCAGAGTGCACACACATACACAGGAACATGCATGTACACCACACACACGTGCACATATGGAACCACACATAAGCATACACACATGCGTGTACAAAGCACACACAAACACATAATACACACAGGTGCATGTACACATGTGCACACACACTCTACACAGGCCACATAAGATACACGATATACCACACATACACGTGTACATGTGTAACCACTCACATCCCACACATGCAGGTACACATAGGCACACAACACGCACCACAGAGATGCACGCATATGCTCACACCACTCATGTACACAGGAATATCCACATACTGCACAGGCATGCACATGTGCACACACATGTTCATACGCTACACAGTGCACATGTGCATGCATTCACACGCAAGCCACACATGCATGCAAAGCCCCACCATGCCCACGCACACGCACACAGCTCTCGATGTGGAGTGGAGGCCGTGCTGTCCCAGCTTCCCTATGACGATGCCACCTTCCAGCAGCCCGAGGACAGAGCGAGGGACGGGGGAGGGAAGTAAGATGCTTGTCTGCAGACTATCATTGGCAACAACACAGAAAGTCCAAAAATTATTGTTATCCTAGAAAAATATTACACTTCATAAAACCCATGTTTATTCCAAAAAAATCTATTCAGAAAGTCTGGAAAGCGTAATAAATATCTGTATAGTGGCCGCCCATCTCAAACATAAAATACAAAGCGTGAACATAAGAATGACCTGTAAACACAAATGCGGGCTTGTAAACAAAGTGCTGAGTCGGGGTCTGGGTGGAAAGCGGGCTCCCCGTGGGCGACGGCGGTGGCGAGTTCGAGTCTCCCACGTTCTTCCGAGCTCTGCGAAGCCGCGCTGACGCTCCTCCAGTCTCCTCACCACCCAGGGGCCTGCGGTGTCCTTCTCCATTCTTGAATTTTAAGGACTCTTGGAGAGGTGAAGGGCGACAAAACCATCGGGAAAGAACAACAGAGTGCAAATCAAGTTCGTCATGTGCTTGAGAGGATCAGTCAGGCGTGAGGCAGAAGTCCCAACGTGCGGCTTTAGGGGTAACACCATTTATGAACAATACTGGCTAACATTAAGTACTATTATCACTGAAAATGCTGGACAGTCTTCCAAGCATCAACACACACGGAGTTAAAGTCACGGACAACCTGACCTAAGGACACAGGTGAAGTCTCACTCTTGCCCAAATTTGACTTGGGGGCGGCATGTGTGGGGGGCTCACCCGGATGGGGCGAGCCAGGTGTTTCCATCAAACAGGGGGGCTGGCGGGTGGGGAGGAGACCGCAGGGGGTTCCTTGGGGGGAGCTCCCGGGCTCGGTTTTCTAATGACAAAGTCCGTGGACTATGATCCAGAGGAGGGTGGTTCCCCGTGTTTCCAGGGGCAGCGATCTGACTTTCCGGGTGCTCTGGCTGCTTGTGCGAAGCCCCCGGGGTGCTCCGGGCCGGGGTAAGGGGTTGGGGTGGGGGGCGCCCTGCACTGGGGAAGCGAAACGAGAATAGCCCCTTCCTTCACCCAGGACTGCTGCTGAGGACACACAACCAGGCCGTGCCACTCAGGAATGGGCAGCTCAGTTTCAACTGTGATACTGACTTCTCTAGGCTGACTTTCTGGAAGGGTTTCAAGTATCACTGTGTTCTGGATCAGGTGAGAGAGCAGAGGTATTGTACAGACATTCAAGTAGACTTGGTTCAGCAGGGCAGGTGCCAGCGGTGTCTCTGCCGCCGCCACTGCATGCCGGCCCTTCGCCAAGGGCACAGCGTGGTGCCAGGTGAGCCCCAGGCGGCTCTGTGGCTCTCGGAGTATGCAAGGTGGGGCTGCGTGCATGGGGGCACTGCAAAAGGTGACGAGCAGAAGCCGTGGCGGAGAGCACAGGCTGGCCCCTCTCCCTGCCTGCTCCTGGGCTCCTTCCCTGGGGCCTGCAATACTCTGCACTCAGACTCTCCACAAACAAACCACCTGCCGGGTGGCACACCTGGGCCCCATGAGCGCGGGGCAGAGCAGTGGCCCCATGGCAGACAGAAGGTACAATGACCTCTGTTGGTTCCCAGGAGGGCAAACCCGCGACCTAAGGGCTATCCAGTTTTCCCTAAGCTTCTACTAAGAGATAAAATAATTCAGACCTAAAGCAAAACTATTGTGAACCAAGGCTTTGTGTCTTTGGGGAGAAGCATTTTCTATTGAGAAAGTGTGAGAGATGCCTACGGAAGCTTTGTAGGAAACCGGCTCATGAACCTGCCTCCACCTTTACGTCTGGGGGGAGAAAGGCTCACAGAATAATGAAAGCTTCTGAAATAAGTTTACATTTTAAGGTCTGGAAACAACTGGACCCAGCTAAGGAGTTTTAACAGAATGTGGCATGTTGCTTTTTTGTCTTTTTGAAGTGGTGCGGTTGGTTGAGATGGGGGATGAAGGGAACAAGGACTTATGTCTTCTTAGTGAGACCTGGCTGAGGACCACAGGTGCCCCGCACCCAACCGAGGGCAGTGGGGCATCCTGGGCTGGCTTGGGGGCACCGGCGATGGGGCAGGCAGGAGGACATGGGGGTGGGGGGCACACACACTCTCCCCTCTGGCCTGGGCAGCAGCACTGAGGCTGTCCCGGTTTTATTTAAGGAGGAACGCACAGGCCCCCCCACCTCGGCACTGCACCCACTGCTGTGCACGTGTCCCCTCCCCTATGCACGCACCCCCTCCCGTGGGCACGCGTCCCTCCTGCGTGCACACACGCACCCCAAGGGAAACATTAAATGTCACTGCAACATCAGGTGAAAAACAGAAACACAAATGTAACACAAAAGCACAGCTTCTACAAAGTGCATCCCACCCTGGGGAACCCATCTTTCAGCTCCCCTCTGGGCCCCAGGGGCAGCCGGGCCTCCCGGCCCCCTCCTGGCTCCAGCAGGACCGAGCACGCCTAGAAGGGAGGAACAGAGCTCCGGGTGCCAATGTTCACGGATCTCCCGTGGGACAGAGAGGGAAGGCAAGCACAGCGAATCCACTGCTTTGGGAGAGCACAGAGCCTGACCTGGGGTCGCGGAGCCGGCGTCAGGCCCAGTGCATGTTCTTGCACTTGCTCTCTCTCTCTCTCTCTCTCTCTCTCTCTCTCTCTCTCAGAAGCTGGGGCGACCTTTCTTGGCTGGAGCCAGGGCAGGAGCCTGGACCCCCAGCCCCGCAGCCCCAGCCATGGAGGGACAAGGACACAGGGCGGGGGACACAGGCCGTGGCTGGCTTGTCCCCAGGGGCATGCGGATCTTATGAGAGGTTCCCACGGCAAAGGTGACACCTGCTAGTCCTGGGCTCTTCCCTCATTCGGGTCTGCGACCCTGAGAGAACACCCAGCACCTCAATCAGAGAGGAAGGGCGATGGATGAGGGCTCTTTGGATCATTTGGAGGGGACCTGGCATCTACTCCTGGGTGCCATCCGCAGACCCCATCATTCTGGCCACCCCAGAACCGCAGAGGCCAGCCCCTCCTGGGAGGCTGTGCCATGAAGGGTCAGTGCGCCGCCCACCCTAATAACTAGGACGCGTGTGCGGAAATCTGACCCAGTTACTGGCTTTATCATTGGAAAAAATATCTCTCTATATAAATATAAGCCATGATCGTAAAAGACCTCCAGAGTCTGAAGGAACCCTACAGGCCTTGGGCATGGTGGTGTGCGCTGCAATGAGCCCGTCTGGCTTTGCTCGGGGTAAGGAGGCGGCGAGGTTGGCACAGCGAGGCGTTGGGAGGTCACCGGTCTGGATCCGATCCAGGCTGAACAAGAAAACGTGGAATGAGCGGAGGCAGCCGAGCCTTGCGGTCGGGCAGTGGTCACCCCGGCGGTGCCCGAGACGGGGGCCCAGGCTGGCACCGAGGACCCAGGATGCTCTGCGGGGCCTGCTCCACTATAGCCTGGTGGATGTGAGTCTCTTCATGCCCCTGCGCTGAGCCAGGTTGGACGACAGCACCGGCTCCAGCCGCGGGGCCTGCGGAGTTCTGTTCAGAGCAAAGTAGGTGGCGGCCATGGCACCCTGCAGAGGGAAGGGAGAGGGCAGGTGACCGGGGCGCCCACCCAGTCCTGAGCGGGGACCTCTCCCAGCCATAGTCTCTGGCGCACAGCGGGGAGGTACCTCGTCCTGCAGGCCCCAGGGCGAGGAGTGCCATGAGCTCACCATGTCCAGAATGCTCTGGGGCCTCATAAATGACAGTACTTTCATTCTACTACCGTGTCCCTCTACATCCCACACCAGCCTTCAGTTGTGCTTATAACTTGGGGTATTTCAGATCCGCATGGAGCCTCAGGATGAGGTCGCAGGACCCGTGCCCTATGGTGCGTTGCCACACTAGCTGGATTTTAGAGGACCGGTTTTACCCTCAAAGGACTGACCCTAAGACCTGGGAGTGGTGCAGCTTCAGTCCTTCCACACAAAGCTCCAAGCAGCCTCCACCAAGCATGTGAGGCAAAACCCACTTGTTCCCACGGTGTAGACCCCCCAGTCTGCGGGATGTCTGTCAATCTGTCTGGATTGTATAGTAGGGTGTCAGTGTATCATGACTGAGGTGGCCAGAAACCATCACCTTGCCATCGTTAGGTCTGATGACACCTGGCTTCAGCGACTCTATTAATACTTGTACTGCAAGGTCAGAAATTGCAAAGCTGGGATCACCAGATGGCAAGGGTCTACCCAGAGATCCATTAAGGTAATGAGCAGCTCTTCTGTAGGTTAAGACCTATTGATCCCTGGGATCATCAATGCTGCTGCGTCCTGATCTTTGTTCCCTCTGCAGGGTCCCAGGGTGTCAGGATGCACTAGTTTAAGAGGTGTCGCTGGATGGTACATTGCCTGAGCTCTGGGACACGTCTCAGGAAAACTAAGTAAGGCAGTGGTGGCTTAGGGTAGGGGATGGCAGACCGGAGCCCTCAGCCCAGCCCAGTGCCCCCGCTCCTGGAGATACCCTTTTACTGTGTCACAGCAGCACCTGGCCACTTGCATATTATCTGGAGGTGTTTCTGTGCTACAGGAGGAGATTCAAGGAGCAGTGACCAAGATCACTGCTCGGGAAGCCCGCAGCGTTTACAGTCTGGCTTTTACAGAGACGTCTGTAGACCTCTGCTCTAGAACGGAGGGCTTTGGATCCCTGACACATGCAGGACTCCCTCCACCTCTCTCTCTCTCCCTCTCTCACTGCCTCCCTCTCTGCCACTCTCCAACCCCATCTGTCTGTCTGTCTCTGTCTTCTTCTATGTCTGTCTCTGTTCCACACGCATGCATGTGCGCACACACACACACACACACACACACACAAAGCTTCAATTGTTAACAGATGTTGTAACTCATTCAGGGTTTTGTGTGTGATTGCTTGCATGGGAAGAAATGTGTAAAAGCAAATAAATTAGGGGGATACCCATTCCTGCCTCTTACTGGTTCCCTATCTGGTTCCTACACTGTGATTTCTTTAGGTTAATTGGAAAGAGATCACGGCAACTTTCCTGCCCACCCCCCCCCCCCCGCACCATCTTGCTCTCATGATGACATGTCCGCACCTTCACCAGGTGGACGTCTTGTCGGCTGAGCTGGTTTTGCGACAGGTACTCTCTGTTCACAATCCACGGGTGTTTTAGGACTTGAACTGCCGTCAGTCGCTGATGAGGATCCACATGGAGCATCTTGGACACGACGTCCTATGAGGGAAGACAACAGAAGCTGGTTCAAAGAGTCTCCTGAATAACATTCCTTCATTCCCTCTCATGGCAAAACCTCACCACTCTTCTGACTGATTCTCTGCATTTTGGGGTCAAATGTTTACTTTCAGCTTTAAAAGTAAGTGAATGATTTTTGAATTTTAATTATCATCGCCTTGGTGGCTCACTCCAGGCTTTTATTGTATTAAAGATCTTACATGTAAAGAGAAATTGAATATAGAAATGTTGAATGGTGCATGTAATTTACTGAACTGCTACTTTAGTAAAAATGCTATCCTTCCAAACAGAGAAACTAAGTAACGACTGTCCCACAGACACAAAGCAGTATGACAATGGATGTAGTGACATTTTTGTTAGCACTGCCCACAAACATTTGCTACGTATCATCATCAGCCACAGAGTTGTCCATCTGTAACCACTACGTGGGTCAAATGGCTAACGTCCAACAAGGTGATTTTCTTTTTTTTTTTTTCAAGATTCTTTTTTTTTTTTTTTTTTAGGTTTTATTTATTCATTCATGAGAGACACAACACACACAGAGAGACAGAAACACAGAGGGAGAGGCAGGCTCTTTGGAGGGACCCCATATGGGACTCAATCCCAGGACCCTGGGATCACACCCTGAGCCTAAGGCAGACGCTCAAACACTGAGCCAGCCACCTAGGTGCCCCAGGGTGATTTTCTTATTTGAGTCTAACATAATAACAGTAAAGATTCCTACAACTGGCTCAAAGACAAAGCTCCACCTCACATATTCACACATTGCACTACATGTATTTGCATGTGCGCGCGCACACACACACACACACACATGCGTGATGCACCTGTTTTCAAGAGCCATCGGGCTTGTCCCTGAAGGAAAGAGAGCCAATATCACTGTCCCTGTTTTGCAGAAGACGTTGACATTGATAGTGATCAAACGAGTGGCCAAGGAAGAGCCATGATGAGAATCCATGCCTTCCTGCTCACTTGCTCACCTTTCCCTGGTATTCCCACAACATTTCACAGGGAAATAAGGGAGTTAGTAGTATGACGATGGTGGACTCGACAGAATTTCTGGTCATAAACCACAACAGAGAAATACTATAGACTAATCCAATATCCTTTTTAAAATAAAGAAATCCGGGACGCCTGGGTGGCTCAGCGGTTGAGCATCTGTCTTCAGCTCAGGGTGTGATCCCGGGATCCAGGATCGAGTCCCATGTCGGGCTCCCTGCATGGAGCCTACTCCTCCCTCTGCCTGTGTCTCTGCCTCTCTCTCTGTGCCTCTCAACAATAAATAAATAAAATCTTAAAAAAATAAAATAAAGAAATCCAATGCCTTTTAATGTTTGGTAGCACTGATCTTAGTAACCTCTTGAAACAAATACCCCCTGGAAGCAGTATGGTTCCCATTTTCCCATTTCCAGGTGTAAAGCTGAAAGCAGAGAGACCTGTATTGTTTGCTCAAGATCTCACAGTAAAGCAATGTTTCTAGGCGGCACATGCAGGATGTGCAGTGACAACCCCACTGATCCACAGGCTGTGTCTGATTTTGGAGGACTGGAGGTTTTGTCATATGTTTGGTGAACACAGAGAGGGGAAAAGGCACGGGGCAGGTGAGGCTGAAGATATGGTGCTGACGGGGAAGGAAGAAGTCGTCAAGGTACCAGGAGGCAGTGAAGCCCTCTGCCGGCAGCAGCAATCCTGATACTTGACTACTTTCCTGACACCTTCCTCCTGGCCCCCACTCCCACTTCTAAGGTCACCTCACAAAGAAATGTAGTTTATGACCAGAAAATTGGATGGTGGGTCTCATCCAATCCAGCACCTGAGTCTTGGTCTATACTCATTTGAGACTGAGCGGGTGGATGGCAACACTGGGAGTGTCAGGGTCTGACACATGGGAAGTGCTCACTACATGCCAGCTGTCTTCTCTGCCATCACCTCTGTCATGACCTCCATCATCACCTCTGCACCTCCTTCACCAACCCCTCTGTTATCTCTTCCACCATCTCTTCTACTATCATCTCTATCTTCTCCGTCATGCCCTCTGTCATCTCCTCCATCATTTTCTCCACTATCTCTTCCATATTTCTTCTATCATTTTCTCTACCATACCCTCTGATATCTCCTCCACCATCTTCTCCACCAACACCTCTAACATGATCTCCATTATCACTTCCACCATCACCTCTGCCACCTCCTCCACCATCCCCTGCCTTCTCCTCCATCATCTTCTCCATCATCACTTCCACCATCACCTCCAGGGTCATCTCCACTATCTCTACCATCACCTCAACTATCATGTCTATCATCTTCTCCCTCATTCCCTCTGCCACCTCCTACACCATCTTGTACAGCATCCCCTCCACCATCACCTCCATTAACACTTTTACCATCACCTCCACCATCTCCTCCACCATCTCTTCTACCATCACCTCCACCATCATCTCTATCATCTCCCTTTGCCATCTGCTCCATCATCTTCTCTACCATCTCTTCCACCATCCCCTCTGCTATTTCTGTATGAGGTCACACAGTGATGATGATGGCGGCACTAGATTCAGAACCCTAGATGGTCTACTTCTCTGTCACATTTTATAGTAACACAGGAAATAGACTGTTGATGCTGCTTCATACTAGTGGTTATGTTATCATTTACTATTTAACTAGAGAGGAATTGATGATCTCAACTGAAAAAGATTAAGTCTGATGTTTCTTTAAACAAAGTTTGTCACAAATAGTGAAGCACCCATTGCCAAGTGTTTTTTTTTTTTAAGATTTTACTTATATATTCATGAGAAATGCACACACACAGAGGTAGAGACATAGACAGAGGGAGAAGCATGCTCCTCGCAGGGAGCCCAATGTGGGACTTGATCCCTCGACCCAGGATCATGCCTTGAGCCAAAGGCAGACACTCAACTGCTGAGCCACCTGGGCATCCCACAAAGTGTTTTAAAGTAACATAAATACACCTCTGTTCCAGAGTTCTCCTTGATCCATCTGTGATCATTCAGGGCACTCAGTTTGCAAGATCACTAAAAGTGTGATGGTTAATTTTATGTGTCAACTTGGCGAAGCCACAGTCTCCAGTGTGTGGCCAAACACCAGTCCAGATGTGGCTGTGAAAGTCTTATTTAGAGGAGATTCACGTTGAAATCAGTCAACTTGGAGGAAAGCAGATGACCCTCCATGATGTTGGTGGTCTCATCCAATCAGTTGGAAGCCTTTTTATCTTAAGATAAAAAAGACTGAGGTTTCCCGAGGAAAAGGGAAGTCTGCCAGCAATGGGCTTTGAACTCAAGCTACAATGCCACTCTTCCCTGAGTTTGCCACCCACTGACCTATTCTGTAGATGTTACACTCATCAGCCTCCACAGTCTCGTGAACTGATTCTTTTAGTTTTTTTTTTTTTTTTAGATTTCATTTATTTATTCATGAGAGACACAGAGAGAGAGGGGGGCAGAGACACAGGCAGAGGGAGAAGCAGGCTCCATACAGGGAGCCTGACGTGGGACTCGATCCAGGTCTCCAGGATCAGGCCCTGGGCTGAAGGCGGTGCTAAATCACCAGGCTGCCCTCGTGAACTGATTCTTAAAAATAAATCTTTCTCTCTCTGTATCTATCCACATTCTATTGGTTCTGTTTCTCTGGGGAACCCCAGTATATCAAGACTGTAGAAAATGTGAAAAGTGCTATAAGAATAGTTTTGCAAAAAAAAAATTTTTTTTAAATTGAGAAACTAAAAAAAAAAAAAAATCTATGAGATAAAATACCCGAGTTATTTATATGAAAGGGATCCTCTAGCTTCCTCACAAATACAGTGGTTAATACTGAATCTCCACACCTGAGAAGCAAAAGTGCTTGGAAACACTCACCTTTGCAGCATCGGAGATTGAGTCCCAGTTCCCCCCAGAAAGGGCATACTTCCCACTGCCAATCCGAGCCAAAATCTCCTCAGGAGTATCATCTGGTCCATTTGCAAACGGGGTAAATCTGCACAATGAGAGAATGCATGGTTACGAGCTCTCATTTTATGACCTACAGTAAAGTTTACAGCTTGATATTACCTCTCTTTTTGTTGTTTGTTTTTTTCTTTTAAGTAGGCTCTGTGCTTAATGTGGAGCCCAATGTGGGGCTTGAACTCAAACCTGAGATCAAAACCTGAGCAAGATCAAGAGCTGGACACTCAACCAACCGAGCAACCCAGGTCCCCCTGCCTCTTTGCTGTTAAAAATAATAGTTCTTTCTTTGCCACTGTGCTCCAAATCCAGGATTTATGGGAAAGTGTCACTTATTTCTTATTCTTTGTCCATCTTCTTTACTTGGTCAATGCTGTATGTCAATAAGGCAAGTGTACAAAACTCTGGGGACCCAAACATGAACATCCTTGGACTGTTTCTGGCTTCCCTGGGACAGTGTATGATAGTGGTTTGCCCAGTCATCTGGTTTCCACAGTGAGACTGTGGTATAATGGAGGAGAGCCTAAGATTTGAAGTCTGAGAGACCCACCAATAATTGGTTGATCTATTACCAACTCTGGTTCTCTGACAAATTAATTTTTTAAGACTCAATTGCAAAATGGATGGAATAATGCACCCACAGGGATCTATACGGAGACATATAAGATGCCATCTGCATTTGCCCTACTGTGAGTTATCCTTTCACCTCCCAACATAAACCAGGGCATGTCGATACATGCCTTCCTAGAAAAGGAATTCTATGCGATCCTCACGGCACTTCTTTAGTGGCAAAATTTGTGATCTGAGGTTTCTGCACAGACAACGTGAGTATCAGAAGAATCACAGGGCAATCTAATGGTGTGACGTCCGGAAGGGCCGAGATGCCTTCCTTGCTACTGTGTCCTCAAGGCCCAGCCCCAGGCTCACGTGTCTGTGTTCTTTCACTACAGACACTGATCCTCACTTATTACAAGATGCCTCATTACAGCCATAGAGAAAGCTGGCTTCTCCCATTAATTCTTGTGAGAGCATTTGCCCATTTTGCTCCAGTGAGCAGTACTGGATGGTCTAGAACTCCTTTTTCCTTCTATGCAAGTCCTTAATAAACTTAAAAACATAGGTCCCTGTGGGTTTCATAGGATCCTAGACCTTTAAGGCTGGAAGCCACAAAGTGTCTTCTCCTCCTTCAAAAGTGAGGAAAGTGAGCCAATAAAGGTCAAGAAGTCCAGCCCAGAAGCGGAGCTGGGGAGGAGCAGACCTCAGATTGGGAGCAGATGTGCACACAGCACACCCAACCCTCCAGCTGTGCCACCACTGGCCATCTCGTCTGATGGCCACAGAAGACAGTCACCTGCCTTCACCTGGCTGCCTTCCTTGAGGTGCTGTTTGACCAGGAAGCTTTCATGAGTGCATCTTAACGCAAGAGGATGTTTTTAAGAGATATCTTAAGGGGGTGGCATGATGCCAGGGAGAATGTGGACATGTGCTCAGAGGCTTGGGTTTTTTGTGGATGAGCTAAAGTCTGTGTTCCAGTTTCCTAATTCTGGAGACACATTTTGAAGAAAGCACATGGCCAACTTTCTTAATCCTGGTCCCTAGCTGTCCTGAAAGGGCTAAGGAAGTGTTTACCCAAGACCTGGGGGGGGGGGTCCCCACCCTTGCACCAGGGCAGGGCTGAGATGCCTGTCCGATGATGTCTCGGGCAACCATGCCTTCGTGTGCTGACACCTACGGGACGGTGTGCATTACCCCGCCAGCATGGTGTATAAAAGGGTCCCCAAACTCCAGATGTCACATGCTGCATCGTAGCCTTGCCGCTTCAGGACCTGGAGGGAGGAAAGCAGACAACAGATGAGCAACAGATGAGCACTTGGTGAAGAAAGTTCGAGTTCACCATGTGTTGTTCTGATGAGACCATGAGCCGGGCCAGTGGGAACGGGGGACAATGTTTATTAACACAAAGTCAACTGTGATGCCCTATAGTAGGATTCCCCAAAGATCAGTGCACACGTGGGAACCACAGCTTTTGCTAGATAAGTGACAGATAGCTTGGAATCACTTAATTTTCAAGGCAGAATTTAAAAAAAATTATGGCAAAGTCTACATAGCATAAAATTTACCAACTTAATCAGTTTTAGGAGCACAGTTCAGTTACTCAACCATCCCCACTATCCATCTCCAGAACTCTTTCCTCTTGCAAAATAAAACTGCCCCATTACATGGTCACTCCCCACGTCCCTCCTGCAGCCTCTGGCTTCCACCCCCTCCTTCCATCTCTATGGATTTGACTGCTTTAGGGACCTCACATGAATTAATCATATAGTAATCACGCTTCTCTGTCTTGCTTATCAAACATAACATAATGTTCTCAAGGCTCAACCATGTTGTACGTGGGACATAATTTCTTTCCTTTGTAAGGCTAACTAACACTCCATTGTATGAATGCACCACATTTTGTTCTTCCATTCAGCTGTTGACAGACACGTGGGTTGCTTCCACCTTTTGGCTGTTGTGAATAATGCTGCTTTGCACGTGGGTGGGCAAATGTTTGTTCTTGTCTCTGCTTTCAATTCCATTGGGTATTGGCATTACTGCATCACATGGTAATCCCATGTTTAGCTTTCTGAGGAATAGAAGAATTTTCATGTGTCCCAGGATTACATACTTCAAGGGAGAGCAATCCTCTGATATATTTACAGTTGAATAACAATAAAGAAAGCAGCATAAAGACTCCTGGATACTGGATTTAGCTTTACTGGATTTAGGCAGGAGAGCTGTGTTTAATTTTCTGAGACACAAGGACAAGGATCCCAGCATACTGTCTTTGTATCACTGACGCTGATGCTGTGCACTGTGGTGGCAGCGTGGTAGGTGGTCTGTCAACACAGGAAAATTAGCTGAATGTCCACTGTTGAAGCCCATGTGTCACTAGAGGAGTGACCTTCAAAAGTCACTTGAACACATTGAACCTGTTTGTTTTTGTAAATGATAAAGTAATGTACTGATTTATTTTATAATTGCTAAAATAATATTATTAATATTACTAATGATCAAATAAGGCAATAACAGAGGCCTATAAGCAGCTTATTTTAAAGGGGGCCACAGGTAGCATCTGGGTAACCTAAAAGTGGCCTCACAGCTTACCTGTGTAGGCTCCATGCCCAGCTGTATCTCGTTTCAGCACCCTGCTGTCTTCCTCACGACCACTGGCGGGGGCTACCTCACAGCTTGCAGACCCACCATGCTGTACTAGCGTGCTTTTTTTTCTTCTTTCTTTTCTTTCTTTCTTTTTTTTTTTTTTAAAGCAGGCACAAGAGACGCCTGGGTGGCTCAGTGGTTGAACATCTGCCTTTGGCTCAGGGTGTGATCCTGGATCAAGTCCCACATTGGGCTCCCTGCATGGAGCCTGATTCTCCCTCTGCCTGTGTCTCTGCCTCTATCTCTATGTATCTCATGAATAAATACATAAAATCTTAAAAAAAATAAAGTAGGCTCCATGCTGAGCATGGAGCCCAACGTGGGGCTCGAACTCATGACCCTGAGATCACGATCTAAGCTGAGATCAAGAGTTGAACACCTTTCTCTTAGGACTTGCTGTGTGATTATTGGGCCCTCACCAGGGTGGTTGTGGTCCAGTTACACTAATAGCTAGAAGGATCCACACAGAGTCCAATGTCTGTTTTCCTTTCTGACCCCTCATCTCACCAGCCACGAGCCTGTCCAGTCCTACGAGCCTCTTGGATTTTGTTGCTTACTTAAGACATGAAATTGGGTTTGTCTTCATAAATGTATCAGTGACTTTAGAACCTAACAAAACCATCCCCAGGGAGCCTGGGACAAGTGTACAAGATTCTTGGAGTCTTGGGATGTGGGCTGAGAACCCTCACCTGCAGATCACTATGGGGCTTCTTATTAAATCCCATAGCATTTGGGGAGCCTGGGTGGCTTAGTCAGTGAAGCGTCTGCCTTTGGCTCAGGTCATGATCTCAGGATCCTGGGATGGAGCCCCACATCGGGCTCCCTGCTCAGTGGGGAGTCTGCTTCTCTCACTCTCTCTGCCTTCTGCTCCCCCTGCTTCTCTCTCTCTCTCTCTCTCTCTATCTCTCTCAAATAAATAAATAAATAAATAAATAAATAAATAAATAAATAAATAAAAATCTAAAAAAAATCAATCCCACAGTACTGGCTTGCTTCTACAGTGGAAATCAGTGTGGAGCAGAACTCTGGTACAAGAAGGATCCACAAACACAGTCCCCCCATCTGTGCAACTGTAGGTAGATTTCTAATCACAAGTGACACAGGTAACCTGTTAGCTCCCCTCTGGGTGGCATGAAAGACTACCTGCGTTATTTCTCAGTAACTCCTGGCAAATACGGGGATCTGACCCAAATGGTCTACAATTTTATTTAAAAACATCACCATCAACAATTTTACAAATAGGAAAATAAAATGAGAAAATAACTGTGTTTGAGCAAGTTCAGTGGCTGGTTCTTTTCGGACTCATTTCTATGCGCTAACATCACTGCTGAACTAAATCAAGGCGACTCCAATGAACTAAACAATCCACCCCTTCCCTTGAGGTAGGAGAGGGCTTATCTGCCGCCTCAGACGCTGTCTTACCTCTGGGGCAACAAAGTTTGCCGTGTAGCAGGGTGTCATCAACAGTCCGTTCTCAGCTCGGAGCTGCTTGGCAAACCCAAAGTCACAGATTCGGATGGATTCAGGGTTTCCAGACTCATCCATATACAGTATATTACTCGGCTTCAGGTCTCGATGAACCACCTGGAAAGGCAGCAGGTCCAGGTTGGAGCAGGGAAGGGAGAGGGGGATGCTTTCAGAAGATAAAGGTGGTTTTGTTGGAACAGCGCTTCTGAGCATGTCCTGCAGCTGGAAGCCAGTCAGCCTGGATGCTATATCCTTTAGGGGCCAGTCTTCCCTTCTCTCTTTCTCTCGCACTGACACTCACATAAGTGAGTAAGCAGCTACCCCAAGTGAAATAATTACATACAGGGAAACGGTGCACTGAGTTCAGGTGATGAGCATAAAAAGATTTCTAGAAATGAGTGTTTACGGAGTGCCTACGATGCTCCAGCACGGTGAGGGGCTGGACTCAGCACACAGCGAGGCAGACACGGAGCCTCCATCGTGGGGCATGTGACCAGTGCACAGGGCTCAAGCGATCCCTGGGAGCCCTATAATTGCATGCACCTGGACTGATGGAGGTGCAGGGTGCTCCACGCATGAGGGACAGGGTCAGAGAAAGCTGTCCTGACACCTCAAGGTAAAGCAGCTATTGGGGGCACACAGCAATTTCTTCTGAAGGGGACAGAGGTCGATTGTAAGCACACACATGTGCCCTCCCACATCCTGGAACCTGCTCGTCTCCACTGTCCTGTTAAAACCCACGGAGAGGAGGGAAGGTGAGCGGATGCACGTGGGCACCCAGCTTGGTTTACAGAGGCCTCTAAGGCAGGGGAGCAGGAGAGTTTTGGGGCCAGGTCCATTACCTCTTTCATTAAATAGAAGCCAATCTAGAAAAACCATCATCATCCAAAAGGTTTTCCCTAGGGACGCCTGGGTGATTTAGCAGTTGAGCGTCTGCCTTCAGCCCAGTGCAAGATCCCGGGGTCCTGGGATCGAGTCCCACATGGGGCTCCCTCCATGGAGCCTGCTTCTCCCTCTGCCTGTGTCTCTGCCTCTCTTTGTGTCTCTCATGAATAAATAAATAAAAAACAAAACAGGGATCCCTGGGTGGCGCAGCGGTTTGGCGCCTGCCTTTGGCCCAGGGCGCGATCCTGGAGACCTGGGATCGAATCCCACATCGGGCTCCCGGTGCATGGAGCACGCTTCTCCCACTGCCTGTGTCTCTGCCTCTCTCTCTCTCTCTGTGACTATCATAAATAAATAAATAAATAAATAAATAAATAAATAAATAAATAAATATTAAAAAAAAACAAAACAAAAGGTTTCTCCTAAAGTGACTGTTGTGGGAAGGTACTTCACACTCACAGACCACTGGGTGGCCACAGAAAGGGCCTGTGGTGCGGCCCTGCAGGGACATCGTCCGGTTGGAGCCGACTGCATCTTAACCCTGATGGACCACACATGCAGAGCTGCCCAGGGAAGCACCGCCTGCTTCACAGGAGGTGCTGAGAGACTGGGACCAGAGACACGGCATGGGACCTCATGGCCTGCTCCCTGTGGGCCACCTGGGGCCGAGAGCATCAGGTCTGGGAGCAGAGAGCCAGGCTGGAGCCCGGGCTGTGTCACACACTTGTGTGCAATCAGCCCTGGGCGAGATCCCTAACCTTTCTCGGCTCTAGTCTCCCAGTCTGTAAATGAGTCTCCCAGAGCCTAGGACTACGTAAAGGACGGCACGGAGCAGCACCTGGAACCTGGTGAGGACCGTGGGAAAGCCAGCTCTCTCCGCCACTGCCATCTGCAGCATTCCTCTGTGTTGGTTAAGGAGTTCGGTCTTAAATAGAGCAGGTGCTAAAAACTACAACACTTCCCTTATCGAGCCCAAATATTTTCTCTCTAGACCTGGTCCAGGTAAACCTAATTTCTGTAGCTAGCTCCTGGGCACACTATGGGGGTGATGATCTCAGCCATGGGAGGGGCAGTTGTGATATGGAGGGAAGCCGGGGACAACTGGGGTTCCCGGCTCTGGAGCGCATGAACGCAGCCCGTGGGCCACAGGCTGCTCTGGGGGTGTGGCGGGCTCACCCCCTGGGAGTGGAGGTAGTCCATGGTCTTGGTAATGGTGCGCAGCACGTCGCTGGCCTCCCGCTCCGAGAAGTAGCGCTGCCGGAGGATGCGGTCCAGGAGCTCTCCGCCGCGCATCAGCTCCATCACCAGGTACACGAACTTCCCATCGTCGTAGACCTGGTGGGGGGAGAGGGACACGCAGTCACCGTGGCCGCCCCCCTGCCCGCCGTGGGGGCAGAAGGGCAGCCCTGGGAGGGACACAGGCCGGTGCAGAGGCCTGGGGCTCAGTGCCCCCTCCCGGTGTAAAAACAAGGCTCCGGGTGAAAAGAAGTGAATGAGTGTGGATGGCCGTCCCAGTCACAACCCGACGGGGCTCTTAGGGAAAACCAGCTTGCATAATCTGCTGCAAAGCAGGGGATGAGTCAGCGAGGCCAGGAGCTTGCAAGGGTGGGATTTTAGCTGAAACAAATCATCCCGATTTGGCCCCCTCTTGGCCGTGGAGACACTTAGAGGTGGGGCTGGGCTGTGCGCAGAGCACCGTGCTGCCACCGTGGTTTCTCCAGAGCGGGGCGCTTCAGCCTTCGGCATGCTCCCCCCTGGAGGGGGTCTCGTTAGCAGGCAGTGACCTGTCCAGCAGCCCCCAGGGGCCCTCCCTGCCGTGGCACGGTGGACGAGACTCGGAGCATCCGGAGCCCAGTCCAGGCAGGGAGGGGAGGCAGGGGCAGGCAGGACCTGCCACATTGCAGCCAAGCTTTTGTTTCAGAGAAGCAATGGAACTAAGAGCTTTGTTACACCACCTTCACTCTCATGAACTTAAAAAAAAAAAAACAAAAAACCAACAGCCCCAACCCCTCTGCTCTGGCTCTTTTCATGACATGCTTATGTGGGCACCTGTCACCCTGCCCGCCAGTGCCCAGGCTCCAGAAGGACCTCGTGGACATGGGGCAGAGCACCCAAACACGAGTGATTTTTAGCTTACGAATCGGTGAGTTTCCAGAACAAATCACTAAAATCATTTGTCTGACCCTGAGCTGCAAGATGTAAAGTTGGTTTTGGTGTATTCATTTCCAGTTTATGAACTCAAAAAAAAAAAAAAAAAACCAACGCTCTCTGCTGTTGAGAATGTACGTACGATGGCATCCTTGCCTCAGAACCACTCACCCCAACATGATAAATGTGGTTTGAAAAGCTTAGGAAGTTTTCAAATTAGCTGATTTCTGCTTGTGGATCTTAACATAGAAATCAACACCAAAATGGGCGGAGGTGCCCGAGACCCACGGGGGAAAGCTGGGTTCACTTGATGCACGTTACCCTCGGCACTTGTTTCACATTTTCATTCATGTTGTGCTAGTATTTTGCAGTCCCCTTGCTCCAGAAATGACGAGGCCCAAGGGGAAGTCGAGGTGGCCTCAACATCTTGAGGTTTTGGGTTTGTGACACTGGAGTCATTCTGGAGTGTGAGGGTGAAGTTGCTGAGGTGAAAACTGTCTTCCCTGTGGCCCCGACACCACAGCCCCGTCCTCTGTGCCTCCGATGGGGTGGATTCCTGCTCCCGCCCCTCTCCTAGGCCGGGACCCCTCATTGCCCAGCAGAGAAGAAGGAAGCTGAGAGGACCCCCACGGCCAGAGCCAGGATCTGGGGTCTCAGGTCTGACCCCGCCCCGTCTCATCCACTCCACGCTCTCCATTTCTGTAACGTTTACGAATGGCACCGAAAAATAATAACACATCTGGATTAGAATTTGACCAGCGTTCTCTTCCTCCCTTATATTCCACATTATCTGACTTGGGAGGAGTGGGGGTGGTGCTGTCAGAGGGATGGGGGTGAGCAGTCCCACGACTCGGGTGATTTTGAGATGCACGTGGCCGGAGCCAGAGTTGGGGGGCCCTTGGGGGGCAGCCACCGTGGTGGAACCACGAAGAGAGCCTGCACCAGACCAACGCGAGCTTTGGTGCCAGGTGAAAAACGCGAAGCACAAACAGCATCGCTGCTGCGTGACGACCACTTACGTCTTTGAGGGTGATGATGTTTGGGTGCTGCCCGTACCTCAGGAGAATCTCGATCTCTTCCGAGGGGTCTCTTTTACTCTTATCGATTATCTGGAACAAGCAGAGCATGTGACGTGAGGCTTTGGGACGGTGTCAGCCGGCGCGGACCCCTCCCACCCCTCCTCCCCTCCAGCTCGTGCTCAAGGGGGACCCGGGACAGCGGCCTAGACGTTCACAGCAATCCTCTTGCCCAACTCTTGCATGAGAGAGACATTTATAAAAAGCAGGCATAAGCCTCAGACGTGAATTCTAAGCTATTACAGGGTTGGGTAGAGGAGGGTGGGTTTGAGGAGCTCACATAGGCACTGCCAAATAACACAAGGTGCTCTCAGCCCCCACGGTGGGCTCGGAGTCGGTGGCCTGAGCTCTTTGGTCAAAATGAGCCTCCAGCTGCTGCTTGCATCTCTCCTTGCTCTGTGGCTACACACCAGCAACAGAGGGTGAGCAAGTGCAAGGTTCTCCCCCAAGAGACACCACGGCTGGCAGGGATGCCGAGTTGACTGCTGGGCCTTAGACACACAAACGTTCCCTCCCCTCGGCCACCCAGCGTCTGTATCCCACATTGTAGGATGACACATAAAATCCCTCCACCCATGAAAACAGATGGTTTCCAATGACAGGATGAGGTGTCAGCGAAGAGAAGCCTACTTCGAGCAGGGGGTCATCTGTTGGCTGCTATCTCTGGTTTACTTACGCCCTCGCTGCCACTTTTATGTGGACGGAACTGGTGGTGATAGAGGACCCCATCCAAGAGAATCCCAAGCACATGTGTTAGAAACAACACTCAGAATGGAAGTCCTTCATACTGTTCTTGAATATTAGTTTCCCCTGATTTAAAACTATTTGCTATTTGGAGAATGTGCAAGCATTTGACTACCAGAGTAGGAAGGAGAATTGCTTTTACTTTCTCTCATGTCAAAGACTCTAAGCAGAGCTTGGCGTGAAACTCAGTCTTTTGTTTAGATGAACACAGAGAGTGCTTGGCAGCAACTGACTCACTGTTGGAACACTGCCCCTGGACACCCCTCGTCCCTTCCCTCCCCTGTCAGGAAAGATCACCCCAGTGCCGGTGCCCACGCTCCTCTCCCCATCTCTCCAGCTGAGCTCCAATGACACCGGCGCCCCAAAACCGCAAGCCCAGTGATGCGTGTTGTTAACAGCAAAAAGTAAAGCTCCTTTTCTTGACACATTTTTCTCCTTTTGTTGTATTTAACTCCAATAAAGTTCTCACGTGGGCACCAGGATTGCTAACGGATAATATATTGTTCTAAGGGAGAGACTCTTAAAAATTTTTTTAAAAAAGATTTTGAGGGATCCCTGGGTGGCGCAGCGGTTTGGCGCCTGCCTTTGGCCCAGGGCGCGATCCTGGAGACCCCGGATCGAATCCCATGTCGGGCTCCCGGTGCATGGAGCCTGCTTCTCCCTCTGCCTGTGTCTCTGCCTCTCTCTCTCTGTGTGTGTGTGACTATCATAAATAAATAAACATTTAAAAAAATAAAAAAGATTTTGAGAGACAGAGAGCACATGAACCGGGTGGAGAGGGGCAGAGGGAGAAGCAGAGTCCCCGCTGAGCAGGAAGCCTGACGCAGGACTCGATCCCAGGACTGGGGGCTCATGACCTGAGCCAAAGGCAGATGCTTAACTGACTGAGCCACCCAGATGCCTTTTTGAAGGCTTATTCAGCAGAGTGGGGGTTCCTTAATATCCTGCTTGGACTGAGTGCTGGTCAGTGGGGTTCTAGGACCACTTTTACTCCAATGGCCCATGGGATCGTTTAATCTCTCTGGGCTGTAACTGTCTCTTTGAAATTTGAGAAGGTTAAAATACATTAGTGGATTTAAAAAAATTAGTGGTAGATTCATTGTTTTTTTTCAAATAAAATTTCATGATAAAAAAGGTGTATTCGTAGCATAAATCTGTTTTGTCACCCTCACAATGGAGGTGGAAGTAGGAAGCGTTTCCTCCATTGCCAGTGGCCCAGCAGGCAGTTACGGGGCCAGATGGAGTGGCTGTGCACACAGCGCGTCCAACAGGAGCTGAACCTTCCTCCTTCCTCCTGTGGTGTCTTCCTGTGGCCGAGCTGACCGGAAGCCAGAGAAAAGGCAAGGCAGGGTACTGTGATGAGGTCTCTGGGCACAGGGCAGGGGGGAGGTGGGTGTACAGGGGGGTTGGGGCACCCAGCCTGGCAGGGAAGTCCTCTGGTAGAGCCTCGGCTGGCACAGGTTCCTACAGCTGCCCCCTGGCTTGCCACCCTCCCCCTGGTCTGGGCAGGACGGACAGGGGCCCACACAGCTGCATGCTCTGGGCAGACCCAGAGTTTGGATCCTGACCGTTGTCAGCAAGTGCTGGCTGCTTTTACCCACAAGTCTTTCTGGGAATTCTGTTTTCAAAAGGTAAGAAGAGTCCTCACAGAGATGCTGAGCCATGAGGCATGATTACTGGTCCCCGAGCCCAAGCTGGTCTGTACCAGGGCCCAGACGGCAGGGCCCAGAGAGAGGTCCTGAGCAGACTATTTAGACATGTCAAGGAATGAAGTTCCCCTCCATGGGCTCGGTCTTCTGGGATTGCCATCATTAGACTTGCTTCTAGATCAAGAAAGCACTGGTGGTGGATCAACTTCCTTATTCTGAGAAGAATACTGCATTGTATATAATCTTTCTGCAGCAACATAACCAGGAAAGAAATTCTCAGCAAACGTGTTTCTGAGCAAGGCCGGCTCTCTCCCATGCTGGTGCTCAGATGACCCTGGCGGGCCACAAAGAAGGAGTCGGGAGGAACGGCGTCTGTCCTTCTCACCAGCAGTGGTGGCAGACAGCAGGCAGGATGCTGCCCGGGCTCAGCCCCCAACCACGGCTGGTCAACCAGCCTTCCACGGTGTCGCTCTCCAGCCAGCTGCACATCTACGGGGCTCAGTGAGCACACCTGTGACACAAGGGATGGCACACAGACTGTCTCTGCAGGTGAAGCATATACAGAAGCATCAGGTGCACTTCTTGTGTCGTTTCCCTTCCTTCCTTTTCTTTTTTCTTCCTTTCTTTCTCTTTCTCTCCCTTCCTTTCTATTTAATTATCTATGTGAGCTCTATGCCCAACGTGGGGTTTGAACTCACAACCCTGAGATCAAGAGCCTCATGCTCTACTGACTGAAGCCTCTCATTTTGGAAGAAATTAAGATTTCCATGCTGATCAGTTTTCCTTCTAAAAATAAGCTCTATTCATCACAAACATTTGTCTCCATCCTATTGCATTTTTGGAGAACTTACCTACACATAAAAGAAATGAGCACAGGAACGCTAATGCTATTGTGAACAGTCTGTTGAGAGCACAAGGCGGGCTCCATGTCAGGACAGCCTGCCCAGCTCCCGGAGGACGTGGGTTTGCCCCACGTCCTCCCTAGAATTAAGGACTGGGTGACACAGACTCTCATAGTTGTAAGGATCTTACTTCACTTTCACCTGAGTGTTTTGCTAAAGCAAACTAGAGTTCTTCTAATAACAGAACAAGATGCTCCTGAAGAGGAGACTTGTAGGTCCCTCCAGGAGGAGCTGGCTGTGGCTCACGAGGGGCATCCATCCATCCCTCGAATGCACCTTCCAGCCCGCAGGACTCGGATGAAGAGGTGTCCGCTTGTCTGTCTGCAGATGACAAGGGCCAGCAGGAAACAATGATGCCCAAAGCACATTCGGCTTCAGACTCTTCAGCCACAAGGCACTTTTTATGGCAGCTTCTGGTTCCTTGATCGGTAAAACACCTCAGTGGCCAGGTTGTGAGATCCCTGAGGACAGGTCTGTGTTCTCAACCACAACCTACCCGTGTGTCTGCCGCCAATAAATGGTTAATAACAAAATCATGAAAAGGAATGAATGCAACTGGCTTAGTGAACAAGGGATTCTGTGCAGAATAAAATGTGTTCCATGGACAAGAAATGCTCTACTGAGCACCTGTGTTGTCAACGCTGACAATACAAAAGCCAAAGAAAGGCATGAAATGACTTGGAATGTGAAGGAAAGCTCCTGACTGATATTTCCCTCTTTTTAGTCACCCTGGTCCTTGACACCACCAAGTATCTCAGTGGGGGTGGACAGATGGGAAACAAGGTATGCAGTATGTCAGGTTAAACATGGGGGCCATGGAGCATGGAGTGACAGGACAGGAGCCACAGGGGGTCGGGGTGCAGTGGGGAGGCCCCGATGGAGAGCAGGGACCCCTGGAGATAAGGTGGCTGGCTCTGGGTCTCGGGGAGGAGAGTGCTGGCCCAGGGAAGGCAAGCCTGTCGCCCAGGTGGGAGCGTCAGGTGTTCTGGGAATGGCTTGGGGAGCTGAGTCCAGCTGGAGAGGGGGCTCGAGAGGGGGACAGGTAACAGGCCTTGCTGGTGGCTGCTGCCCGCCTAAACCCCCCGGCAGTGGGATGGAAGACCACAGGAGGGATCTTGAGCAGAGAGAGGAGACGGCATGTACCTTGTGAAGACTGGATTTTGGCCGCTGTGTGGAAGAGGCTGAAGCAGGCAAAGGTGGGCCTGGGGGCTGCAGGGTGTCTTGGGGCCCCAAAGACGTCACGTCCTAACACCTGGAGCTGACAGATAAGTTGCTGTGCTTCCAGGAGGAACCTGACTGAGTAACTGGAGATGCTGGGATCGCCTAGATTACCAGGTGGAATCAACCCCGTCACAAAGGCAGGGGAATGAGAGCCAGCAGGTGGAGAACAGCAGGGAACACACAAGAAAAGGCCCCTGGATCCAGGGTCACGGGGACCCCCACTTTCTCCAGTTCCACCTTCGCTGTAATGTTTAGGGAGCTTAGAGGCTCATTCAAACCATGCAATTTCCTTGCAGACCCCGTGACTTGGGCTTTACATTTACTACCGCTGCACCCCATCTGCCCTGCGTAGCTGTCTCATTCTCTCATGACCTGGGTGACCTCTCATGCTTCCCTGAATTCACGAAAGTGAGCTGGAGTGGAGGCTTCGGGCTTCGCCCCTTGGAAGTGAGAGGCAGCTCGCTTGGATGGACCACGGCTGTGCCCCTTACAGGCTGCGCGTCCCTGCGTGTGCTGT